CACAGAACTTAGTTAAAAGAATACCTTCGTAGAATGGAAGGAACGGAGAAAAATAAGTAGAGTGAGAATAGCTCCACTGCTCTCTCCTTTTATTTCCTTCCTTCGTAGAACAACTAGCTACCCCTCCCACTGCTCATACACACACACACACACACACACACACACACAGAGTCACACTGAAAACTTAGGGGGAGCCTACATTATAATCTGCTGGCAGGCTAAGCGTAAGAACACGCTGCTATTAAGACTAGACTCTCCCTGGCAAAATTTCCTATATCCAGTTTAATGGATAACCTTCCTTCGTGTGTACAGCGCTTTGTAGACTTGCAGGGAGAAGCAACTTGCCTATCTCCCTGGGAAAACGCTAGACCATAACTATTAAATGAACCATTCTTTCTGCAGTTGTGATCACCTACACCATGCCATCGCCCCCCCTCAGATACAGGACCCCGACTCAGGAAACGATTATCCTTCTGCATAACACGGATCTTGTGAAAATCCTTAACTAGAAGGCCGGTTCCTCTGAATGCACTGCAGAATCACCAACAGCATGGATTTCATGAGCAAATGGTACCAAGAAAGTCAGCAGCCACCTTGTTTTTCACCCAAGTCTAATCAGAAATACAAAACAACATGTGCCAGAGAGAAATGAATTACAGTCAGAAGCAGGGACCCAGAAGAAACAGATGGACGTTAGGATCACTTGCCCTGGTGAAGGGTCATTTCTCAAGGAAATCTAATCAGAGGCGAGAATAGTATGTACTTCTTCAAGGAAGGAGGGTTTTGTCTGCTTGCTTTGTGACAGCAGGACAGCCTTAGCCAGTGCAACATGTTCCTTGTGACCTTTCTGCACATCTAATATTATAAAGAGCCATTATAGGGGGAGTTAGGAACACAGCGCCCACTGCTCCCTGCCTGTTTTACTGACAGGTTATGCCAACAAATTAAAGAGATATATTAGCTGCCTGGTCCTGCGGCCGGGCTAGCCCATTCCTTGTGTGACCTGATCATGGTGGCTCACGCTTTAGAAGAAGCCTGGAGGAACGATCTGAATGCTCATGTCCCCCTCTGCATGAATGTGCACTGACCTGTCCTCAATTCAAGCCTCCTGGCCACTGTCTCTGTCTGCTCCAGTGCAGTGTGGGTGAAGGCAGATCAAAATGGAATATGGGGCTGGAGTTAATACTGCGCTGTATACTTAAAAGCTGCTATCTGAGTAGAGCTTTAATGTTCTCACCAAAACAACAACAAAAACAACAACAATAAAAGGGTGATTATGCGACATGAAACGTGTTAAGTAGCCTTATTGTAGTAAACATTTCACAATATGCATCTATCAGATCATGGTACGCCTTAAACTTACACAATGTTAATACGTCAATTATATCTCAACAAAGCTAGAATAAAAAATTTTTTTAATTAAAAACAAATGGAATGTGGACCTTCTATGAGTCAACACTGGCCTCTGTGGAGACCCAGAAATAGCTGCTGGCCAAGGCTGGCAGGACTGGGAGCAGTGATAAAGGATCTTTAGCAGATCAGTTTGCAAGCTGGTTCCTGCTGGGAGGACAACTAGGACTGGCAAAAATTGTCCTTTTTTTCCCTGGGGCATCTGGGATGTCTGCCAAGGCTGCTGGCCCTGCCCTGCCACCCACAGGCACGGCTCATAGAGGTAACCCACACATACACACACACACACATACTCACACACATGCAAAGTGCCACCGGCTAGAAATAGGGCTGCCCTAGAAAGATGCTCTGCAGATGCTTCGAGCTGGGATTAATCAGTCCTGGGGAACTCGGATTTCAGAATCCTGGAGCAACATGTCTAGAACTATGTTCTTCTGTATGGTAGCTGCCAGTCACATGTGGCTGCTAGTACTTGAAACAGGGACAGCCTGAATTGAGATCTGAGCTGTGCTTTAAAATACACATGAGACTTTGAGGACTTAGCATGAAATAGAGAATGTAAAATATCTTGTTAATATTTTTCATATGATCAAATGTTGAAATGAGAATGTGTTGGATTATACTAGTTTCTTATTGCTAGTGTAACAAATTTCTACTAAATTTCGTGGCCTAAAACAATACTAATTTTTTCTATTACAGTCACACAGGTTGGAAATCTGAAATGGGTCTCACTGAACTAAGAGCCAGGTGTTGATTGACAGGGCTGTGTTCTCCCACAGACCACAGCAGAGAATCTGTTTCCTGGCCTTGTCCAGTTTCCAGAGGGTGCCCACAGCCCTTGATTCATGGCCCCGTTCCTCCATATTCAAAGCCCCCAACACTCCATCTGTCTGCCCATGTTTCTCTGACCATAGCCAGAAAGGGACTTCAGCTTTTAACAATCCATGTGATTAGATCGGGCCCAGATCATCCAGTATAATCCAGATTTATCTTCCCATCTCAAGGTCCATAACTTCATAGCATCTGCAAAGTTCCTCTTGTCATGTAGGGTAACATACCACAGGTGGCCAAATTTAGGACAGGGGGCATCTTTGGAGGCCATTACTCTGCCTAGCACATGGATATATTGGATGGAATCCAATATAGTATTCAGATTAATCTCACTGGTTTCTTTACCTTTTTAATGTGTTTAATAGAAAAATTTTTAATGACACATGTGGCTTGCATTACACTTCTATCAGACATTGCTAGTCTAGGGGTTTTTAATCTCCAAAATTCACTACATGGACCACTTTCGGGTGCCCAGACCCACTCTGGGGCACAAGGGTAGAGCCCTGAGGTGACCTCCACTCCTGGAAAGCAGTCACATGGCTCAGAGTGACTCATGCCATTATTTGCCAGGGGCAATCCCGGTTTACACAGAGGTTCCAGCAGAATTAGTACCAGTGCTCACTGGTGTTTATTGCGAGGCCAAGCAAAAACTTCAGGTCTTTTGAGCATTAGCCACCCATACTCCTTGCTTGGCCTTGCAGGAAACATTGCACTTTCCTTCACCACAACCCTGTGTCAGTAGATTGGCTTTACTGGACACAGGCAAGTCGACCCAAGTTTGATTCAGCAACAGGAATATTACTATCCCAAGAATCCTGCTGCCCCCTGTCTCCCTCCTTCTCCAGCCATCTTTGTAAATGGAAGAGGTAGTAAAATTAAGTCCTTTTGGAACCCACCTCAGCAAGCCTGTGTAGTTGCTGGATGCTGAACGGCCCTCACTGGGCCGTTAGCTGGGGCTAACTCCCCAGGAATCAGGTGAACCCGAAAGCAACAGAAAAGTTTCTCCGCAGATGTTTACACTCCGCTACTCGTCCTAACAGGTTTTGGTTCTACAG